GTAACTGTGGTTCTGAAAACTGCTTGGGTACTGTGCAAGGATTTAAATTTTTACCCGCTGAGGAGAAGGAAAAACGTATTTCCTACGTTTCGCCCGTTATCAAAGAATTGTTAAAGATGGAGGCTGAAAAATATTGACTTGATCTCTCGAGTAATCGCTAGCTGACTTTTGTCTTCTAATGCTATGCCATATAGGCTTGGCCATGTTTAATAGGGATGGGCCATTTTATAGATAATTGAGAGCGGGGGCGGAGATGTTGCGTAAAAACGGCCTGATAGCTGGTTTCTGGGTAGTGACGAAGGATATTTTTGGTCATGATTGATACGGGATATGTACACAACATTTTGGTTCTTGATCCCAAAAATTTCGCACACAAACCTTGTGAATGTAACAAATGACCTTTCGAACCCAGAAATAATATCGGTCTTAGTAAAGGTGTAGTTTTAAGCTATRTTAATTCAAGGTACAAAAATAAATAAAATTTGCAGTAAATCTATAATGTAGCGGTACTGTATTTCAATCCCATTTGAAAACTATGCATTTGATGCAATGAATCGCACGAAAACATTTGGGAAGCCATTTCAATTCATTGCCACGGCATCATATCGTACTGAGAAATCTCGGAAATGCTCCTTGCATCTTGTCTCGCAATCTTATTAAAAAAAAGGTACGTTGAACGGGTTGCACGGGTGTTAGACTAGGCAATGTATCGACATTGTTGCCGCAATCGTTGCGAGAAATAAACTTTATTCTACTACTCAGCAACGACTGCAGCTCGTTTTCCATTCAAACCAAAACTATCCTATCTACAGATAATTTTAAGTAATTCGAAAATCGAGAATAGCAACAAATCTCAATATTTATTAAACAACACTTGAACCATCAATATTTGAATTCTGAAAAAAACACTYCATCATGATAACAGCAAACTCAACAGCAAGGGAATGACAAGAGGCCTGAAGTGGGAAAACATTACTCCCAAAGTTTAAAAGGATCCATAAAAGAAATAATACTCAAGAGAATGACATGTGGTTAATTCAGTTACTTCTTTCGCTTTTTAGTGTCATCAAAATAGGTTTTTAGAGCATCAAACTCTTTTTCATCTCCAGTTTGAATGAAGTTCCTAAAAGATCACAGAGACTGTTAATGGTGGGCTTTAGAAATCCCCTCGACGAGGAGGGCCGCAAGTGAGGAGAATCTATAATGAGGGACACAAGGGTAGGGCACACTGCTCATGCACTTCTCTCATCATTGTAGTTTCGGGTTCAAGTCCTGAACTTGCCTAAGTTTCAGTATGTAGTTCACGTGAATAGATGTTGGTTCTTCCTGTGCTTCAAGGRTGAAGAGAGCAAGGGAGAGGAAATGGGAAAGGAAGTAAAGGAATAAAAGGGAGAACATTTTTCATAATTACCCAAGAACACCTGGGTTTTTAGCTTCTGTTMATCAAAAAAACACTAGCTCGGACTGAGCTTTGGAAAACCAAACATGTCCTGAACAAAGCTGCTAGGACTATTCCATCCTTTCTTACATTTATTGGATTGAACCAATATTCCCTACACGTTTCAGGCCAAAGCTTCCCCTCCCCTCCCCTCCCCAGACAAAGTTGTGTCCTAAGCTTCAAGGCATAAGGGGTTTTCAAGGGGGATTTTGAGGGCATTTATGAAAAATCTTCGATTTGGTTGTCCGAAAAGTGGAATAGTCCAAACAGGTTAAGTCCAAAATATTACCTGTTTGGGTTGCCTACTGATAATTTATGAAAATAAATCCATGAAAATGGGTATAAAAGAGGGCCACAAAGAGAAAGGGGCTAGGGAATATAACCCCACAAATGTTGCAGCAGATGCATCCACAACTTTAAAGTGTTTCCCAATCCTTGGTACTAAAGCTATGAAGAGTTTCCTGTAAGTTTGCTGTAGATTGCATAGTTTCAGAAAATATCCATACCCCACCCACTGAGGAAATTGGAAATTCTGGAGGGGAGGGGGAGTCAGAGAAAGAACAAAATTACAAAGTTTGTATCGAAAGAAAATTGAAAATTCCATGGGTTAGGGGGATCATTTTACAAATTCTCTCCTGGGGGGGGGGGGGGCAGGTATGGATATGGAACTATTCCTATTTGTATTTTTCTTACTTGTAAGATTGGTGTGATTTCACTTCTTGTCCTCTGTATTTTTTCTGCTGTTCTTCTCCCTTCTTACACTGCCATTTCCACACTCTATCTATTCTTTCTTCATATTTTCTTGCACATTTCATGAACTCCTTGGGGGAAATGAGCTTTTCTTTTGCTTTGTGTGACAGCTTGATGYAAACAAACTGTGTGCACTGCTTGATGTCTTCCTCAGTGAACTGTGGAAGAACTTCTAACTTTGTTGTAAGGTCCACGCAAAACATACTGAAGTTGATAATTTGTTGAAAACCAGGTCTATGCAAGAGACCTGCAAAGAATATTACTTAGGTAAGAAGGTTTCATTTGATTGATGTAGCTAGTCCACCTTTTTCTATTTTTCTYGTTTCAGTAGACTGCAAATGCAGGCATTCCTGTTTGGAGACTGATGACAAATACATTGTATCCAAAAGACCTCCCTGTCCCCAACCAGGAAAACATGCAATGCAGGCTACCATATCAGAGCATGTATTATTCTCTGCTTATTAGCTCAGCTCAGCTCAGGCAGGCAGGCAGGCAGTCAGGCAGGCAGGCAAGCAAAGTTAGACAAAAGACAAAGATAAATTATAAACAAGACAGACAGCCAGATAAACAGAAACAATAACTTGATTTTATACGCTTCACTCATCCATGAGTTAAGAAAACTAACCTCTAGCATAGTCAACTCCAATTTTACAAGGATCCTCTGAAGGAGTGCTACGAGGTTGAATCATAAGGCAGAGATCATCTTCTTTTTCATCAAAATAGACTTCATCAAACAAACTTCTTTCCTCCCTTATTATACAATTTTCGATTTTCTGATAATTGTTAGTGTGCAGGAAAGAAAGTAGTTTCTTTACACGAAAAACTCTTGCAGCTGTGGTAAATTTTGCCTCAATTCTCTTTACACTTTTCTTACATCTTTGCAGAGCAACTTCATGAAATTTTCTAATACTGCCATATTTTAGGACTGACGCATCAAGACCATCYGCCCAAATGAAGCCTTCTGAACGAAAATGATCACAGAGAGTTAACATATGTCGACCAGACCCATTAGGTGGTAACTCYACAAGGTCAGCATCTAGCAAGCCTATGTTGGTAGGAATAAAAACTCAGTCATAAATTAATCATGCTATGGACCTGTCATTATAGTTAGTGAGTTGTATTCATATTCATGTATCTTGTCACAGATATGTAACCAGAAATGATACTGACACATGGTCTGTAATGGGATAACATTGCTCTATGACAAATATAATATGTTGAAATTATTTATAAGCTAGCAAAAGTAAATAATCCTAATAATGAGCATCCGACTGGTATCTGGAAGGTCATGAGTTTGATTCCAGTATCAGGGACTCTGATTTTTTCTGAATTCCTTAGCTAAAGACAAATGATAAATTATTCATAATTATATWTTTTTGCTAGCTTATTAAAATAATTTCATCATATTATATAGATCTATTTATTTAACATTCATTCTATAACCTTACCCCACATTTTCTTAAATTTTTCCCTCGTCAGAATACCACGTGACAGAGGCCAATGCATTGTGCATTGACATAGGAGTGTGCACCAGTGATACAGATAGTCTGGTAGTTTAAACACGTCACAATAGAAAGTGAGCTGACATTTTTCGCCATAAATCTGCTCCTGGACTTTGTCGTATTTGTAGAGTGCTTTGTAGATTTCAAAGAATGATTGGAAAGGACCTTTAACTTTTAAGAACACTATAAAATCCTCCTTAAAACAAAACATACCAATGTATGTATAAGGTCAGAGTGGTGACGAGGGATAAGGGATCACATGGTTTGGATTGGGATCACATACTACGAATGTGTAGTTCCAAATATTATCCATACCCCCATCCCCTACCCCTCAGAAATTCCAATTTTCTTCCATACAAACCCTGTAATTTTTGTTCTTTCTCTGATCCCCCTACTCTTTGGAAATTCCAAATTCCTCTGTGGGGTGGGTATGGATGATTTCTGGATATACACAAATGAGAAATCACAGAAATGGGATCTTGATCATATGAATATTAATTCAGGAATCAAGGGAATATTAATGGGATCAGGGATCAAAATAAGTGAGTTTTTGGAATTTAGGGATCAATTCTTTCTCTGGGATCGATCACAAAAACATCCCTTGTCACGACGCAGTACAAGGTAGGTAAGCCAAGTAAGATGCAATATTACTTACATTGTACCACTGTATTTTATCAATACAAAATGACAACAGTTGCAACAGGGAAATTGAGAAATTATTTGGTATCTTTACATACTCTTATTGATCATGATGRTAGTCTAAATTACCTGATTTCCCAGTTTATTTGCAGGCCAGCTGCTAGGACATTAAAAGGGGAGGTTTGTTTTTTTTTCTTAATAAAAATTTTATTGCATAGATATTGGATCTTATTGCTTTTTTTGTATAGGGGGGNGGGGGGGGGGGGGGGAGGGAGTTCATTCAAACCATCGAACCATCATATCCCTAGCGACAGGCCTTCTTGCATAAATATAAACTCGTATTGAGCCTAAAAAGATTTTGAGATTAATAAATGACAAATAAATAAATCGAAAATAAGCTTTAAGGGATTAACGCTTTTCTTTATAAAAGGAATAAGAGACCTAACAGGTCACAAAGTGAAGTAAAGTTCCGCGCTAGATGTCCGGCAGTTGGACACGATCTTAAAAAATACTCCATGTTCGCGGATCGAAATTTGTTTTCTTTGTTCAGGTTTTCAAAGATATCTCCGCTTTCACTTCACTACATTTTTAATAAGCTTATATATATAATATATAGTCGTGAAATGATAAAACCACAAATCAACTTACAAAACAAAGGCGTTGCCACAGACTATCGCTCTCCAATAAAAACTCCTTCAACCATTTGCACRTCTCAGTTACATTAAGCACAGTTTTAGCAGTAAGGAAAGAAAATATTTCGTGGAGAATTTCAGCGCTCAACCTGCAAATCCAAGCCATTTTTTTTCGCACCACGATCAAATATTTACGTGGTCTTCTATGTGCGGAGCATGGGGCGTTATGGGAAGGAAGGCTTGTCTACGGCAAAGGTAGCCCAATTTAGATAAGAGTGCTAGATATCGATGCGTTTGAGGTTTTTACGTCATCACGTCCCCACGCCAATAATACAGCTTGGGCTGCCTGTAGCTAGGGAATTGAATTGTTTCTCAGGTAAAACCATTGTATCGTGTGCATAACCTCTATTTATTGAAAAAAGTTGGGTTGGACTCCGGAAAGAAAGTGTGCTAAATAGAGTGCACGTCTCTACAGGTCACTTTGTAGTGTTAGTGCAGCTGACCTCATTAATACTGAAAAAGTAGAGTTCAAAGCATAGATCCGTTGAATAGCCCAAAATGGCTTAATAGTACTATTAAAACACATCTTTTTTTGTTACCAACAATGATTTCATTGGTGCCATTTTGTAATGATATATGAATTGAACTCCAGTATGGCTGCATGTCTCATCAAATAAAACTGATAAAGTAGTACGACGATCAATGGGAAGCGAGAGGAGTTGCGGATCCGGCCAGGATTATTTTAAAAAGGGGCGTTTCCAAAATGGCCTCCCGATGCAGCAAAAGCTGACGCGATGGGGTGGCGAATTTTATTTTACCGAGAGTATCAAAGAAATATCGTAAAAGTTTTTTTTTGTGTGTGAAAGGTAATAAGTCTAATTTATTTTTATCTGATAGTTTTTCTTTGAATGACTGCTTCATTATTTCACATATGACGGATTTCGTGGATAGGGAGGTAGAGTTGGGTCTTGGGTGCACACAATTTTTCTCTGAGCTAGAGCATATATATCTTCAGACGGACGTTAATTAATAAAAAAAACTACTTATCAATGCGAAGCCGTCCCAAATCTAGAAAAGTTTTCTTTCGTTTCGTTTCGTCTGTTCTTGTTTATTTCTGTTTCCTATGGATTTTAGTTTCCATGCATGGACAGGAAGTTTAATGAATATACTATCAAACTTAAGCCATGTAGAGGTAATCCCTTCCTTGTTACGATAATATAATTAGTACCACCCAGAGTATAGAGTGCTCACACTAAATCCGTGAAACAAATGCTAATTTTTAGCACTAAATAGTGATAATTAAACAATAGAAAACAAAGGATTCTGTATGAAATAGTACTAATTAGTACTATTTAATGTTCACGGTTTTAGTGCGTGCACTCTACCACCGATTCTGTTCACTAGTGATTGGACGGAACATATCATATGTAAAACACTGCAAGAGAACATTAGCATCTGTAGACGAGAAGCAAAAGGAGAGCGTGGTTTATCAGGGATTCAAACGGCTTTGCTTTCTAGCTTCAAAACTGAGGACAACGTTGGTGAAGAAACGGAAAGCAATGGTCTGGGATTAATTTCCTGTTTTTTTCTGTTCCTTGTRAATGGAGTCGTGGTATTTGTCGAAGGAAAGTGTGGAGGTCAGTACAGTATTCGGTGGAAACATGCAATCAGCTATAAGAGCTTTGTGCGTTTTGGTATTTTGGATATTCATGAGTCTTGTTGATTTATATGGTTAGACTGAGCACTGCCTCTGCTGTAAATATAAAATTTACTGACTGTTTTTGAAGAGGAGGCGTGTATGACCCCCGAGTTTGTTGCGGCACATTTATAGAATAAGTCATTAAGCTTATGTAGTGATAATTTAGAACAAATACATAAGRGCTTTGGATTTAAGTGGAGATCTCGAATCAGAACTAGTATCGCGATTTTCCTATAATTTTGATTTGGAGAGAGCCGCCATTTAAAAACCGTATTTTCGCTCGTGGTTGGAGCATAGCATTTGATTGACGGCGAAAGATAGCACTTTTTTGGTATCCACGTGCTTCTGTATGCAAAGGTTCACTGCAAATGGCATGTGAAAATCTCCGACAGAAAAGTTCATTTTCACCTCTTTTATATCTTTCACATGACACAAATTATTTTCTGACGATGTGGTACAAGGATTAAGGGAAAATACAAGCTATATATCTTGCACTTTCCTCTACAGGTGAGTGAAAAATATCGTACATAATTTTGTTTTCTTTTGTGGCAGCTACTCTTGCTTCGATAAATTGTTTTACAAATTGTTGAATGAAGAAGAAATTGTAGAATCAGTTATTCTTTTATTGAYGATTTGTGTTACAAAGTAGAATGATAAATTTCATCCAATCATAACGACCTTTTTAGAAAAGATAAGCTTAACTAGGTTTTGTAAACTCGAAAATGTAACTTACTCAAGCGAAAAATGGCGAGAAACTTTTCAATGCATTAAGGAACTCGTAAAGAATGAAGTATAAAAAAGAAAAAATGCATRAGAAATAATTTTTTGAGGACCAAATTTTCCTTTTGCAAAGTAGAAAACTATATTGCTACTTCAGCAACATGCCTGCACCATGAACGTTTCAAATATGCAATATAAAATGGGGGTCACAATTCTTGTATTCGTGCTACATGAACTCAAAATATGACAATATACGGCCTAGATGACAAATATGGCTGTAACCGGAAGTCAAATAAAACTACTACCATTCCTCAAAAAATTACATGTTTTAAGCAAACTACAAAAGGTGATCTTAATTRCACTAACTAAGCTAAGCATTTAATCATGATCAAGTAATATGGTACAAATGCCTTTAGCCTTTTTGATGAAATATGGAACTACGCATGCTCTTGAGAGTCATCCGGAAGTCGAACGCTTCATCTATTTTCACCATTAAATATATGCATTCGAGAAAGTTCATTTTATTCACATTTCGTAGGTGGATGCTCTACGATCTTCTGAGTTAAYATTGGAAATAAAAAATGGGGGTCACCATTAATGTTTTGGATATCTTTTGAAAAARCATGCGCAAAATGGGCGAAAAATCACACTTTTCCTAGGGAAGACTGGGTCAAGTTTTAAGAAAATCGCAATTTTTCGATTACGAAAAAGGTGAAAAAGCGAAATTTAGCTTTGTATAGAATATTTACTTAGTATATGAAAGTAAATTGGCCAAACTGTGTACATTCCATGATTTTACTCTAGTGCGCAGTGCAAAATAAGGGAATACAAAACTTATTGCAATACAAAACTTATTGCAATACAAAACGTATTGCGATTTTGAGCCGCCAATACGGGTTTATATTGCCGGCATTGGAACAAAATATATTACGTATTGGGCGTAGTCGCTAGAACAATTTTTTTCGGTATTTATATTCTAGTTCAYTAACGTGCATTTTAATTTCGGATAATTTACTAAAGTTTACCTTGATTTGATGCAGATAATCGAGAAGAAATGTATGCGTGTTCCAGTGATATTGATAGATTGAGGTCTCATAAAAAATGGAACCAAAAAGGATGAAACGCGATGAAGAGGATAGTGAGAACGTTTTCTTATTTCTCCTCTGACCTGATAACAAACCCTTTCTTAGGAGAAGCGCATCAACTATTTAATCTCGCAACACAGGCATGGGCTTGCCTTCTGAACTCACAGTAGTAAGAATTTGCTCAAAAGTACAGAGAAAAAAAGCACCGCAGATGAGTACTTTTATTCAAATTCGTTCTCATTCAAAGTAATCGATAGTACTTTGGTCGAATACTCATCGCTTATATACAGCCGGAGAAATTAAAGATGTCCTCCGATGAGTGCGCGCTTATTCAGCAAAWGGTTCTTATAAGGGAATGTATGTAAACACAACAGGGACTTTGACAATTTCTTTGCCGACTTGATTTCAACTGCAAAACCAAATTTTCTTGCCCGTATTCGATAGGGGAATAATGTTCAACAAGAAATTTCCAGCTGCAATAATGTTATCTAGTATTTTTCACACCCTCCCTTAGGGGTAGGCCTGTGTTCAACAACATGGCTGTGGATTGTCTATCTATAGTCCAAATCCAAATCTGCCGTCATCCTCTTCCATCCTGCACGATAGCACAAAACTATCTACATACGCATGTAGCCAGCTCCAAAGTCGTTGAAACTTTTTATTTGGAATTCGCAGCTTGTGTACAGTCGGAGAAATTAAAGATGTTCTCCGATGATTGCGCGCTTATTCAGCGAAAGGCTGTTATAAGGGAATGTATGTAAACACAACAGGGACTTTGACGATTTCTTTCGCGACTTGACTTCACCTGCAAAACCGAATTTTCTTCGTTGAACGTRGCCGGAGCAAGAATGAATAACCTCTGAACATTAGGGTATATGGCGCTATATTTCCGCCAAAAYTCGAGTTTTACCTTTCTACGTGGTAATCGTAAAATTTACCCTTAGTCTAGGCGTTCGTTATTCCGGCCTGTTTCACATTTCCTCATCGAACTTAACCTAATAATTCTCCCAGCTAACTAAATGGATCCTTGTATAACATATAGAGTAAAGCTTGATATGAGTGCAGAAACAAATGTTGATCAGGGAAGATCCTTGGRAAGGTGATTTGCTGCATGTTATCCATTTCGGGATAACCACTAGACGCTCTAAGAGCATGGTCGACCTTTGTTCCGCGTTTTTGTATTGCTAGAGGCTCTGCAGGGAAACATGTCCTAACGAACCGGAAGCCAGAATTTTGGGACAGGTCACTAGACAGGCTCAGCTAGTCAATCTTTTGCTACACGAGTATGCATAATCAACAAGCTTTGTAAACATAGTTCTGAAGCCAATATTAAAATTAGACTTTCCCCTATATTACGGTTTGACTACGTAGGTGTATTTTTACGAATAAACCACCATAGACAAACTCTTTTTCAGCTTTCTGCTTTAAAGAAAAGAGACTTTTCAGCTGTTTTATGGTGACAATCTGCTTGGCTGACGGTACCGTCTACACGCAGACATAACATAGACACACAATATGATTATATTGAATAAAACTTGGCATAACGAGATTTGAGCTCTTTCCTTGAACCTTATTGGCACCATTGAATAATTTTACATATCAACATTTAGCAATATAGTTATTATTAATATATCACAATCATCAAAACAAGAGTAAGCTTAGATATTTACTATTCAAGTTGCTCTTCGTCGTAGGCTGATCCGGAGGCATCTCCTCGGCTCTTTTTGCTCCTTGGGCTTTCTTGTTCTTCTCTGCCATAATATTTAATACAGGGATCCCAACAGAGAATATAGAATATATGGAGTAGCCTGCGGCGAAGACTASCTTCCTTGAGTATCCTTCTCTTTATGTAATAAGGCGAATTCACCTTTTCGACGCTAGCCGTCACRGGGTATTTATTTTTTTAGACTGTGTTACGGTCACCAAAAAGTTCGGACATTGTTCTCGAATTTCCGTACAAATGTACTGACTCTAAATGAACTAATTACTTTAGTTAGCTATCTTAACAGCAGTAAGAAAAGCTTCAATCAAGCTAGAAAAATGATCATTTACTTGTATTTAGAGAACTAACTAAACATTAASCAAGTACTACCTAAATTTTCTCTTTAAAGTCAGTGAATTTGTATGGAACGATGTCGAACTTCTTGGCGACCGTAACACAATCCAAGCTAGTGCCGCCAAAAGGTGAATATTGCTTGTTGTCGTTTGCCTCACATTCGAAGTTCTGCTCATGAAGACTCTTGATTCTTCAACCCCTGAGGTGTTCATTTCATCATGATAGTTTGTTGTGAAGTCCTAGTTTGGGCTCATAGTATATTTGCTATCTAGTGAGAACTAGTATGATCTTTGCTGGTTATTGGCTAGGTGTTTCAAAGTTTTCAACCCTTTCAAACTATAGGRTTCGTAGAATTAGTGTGGGCTTACCACAATGGCGTGCCCGGTTTGTGTATGTGAGATAAGCTTTATGTAGGTCACATATAGGCATCATATGACACGATTAGTATGTTGTCACGATTCTCAGTCCCAGTTTCCACATTCTCCGCTAGGAACAGCTGGAATGSCATGAGCTCCACAGCATTAGCGTCTTAGCTGTGAAGACAGAGGAAGCGTGGCYCGCAGCGTGGTTTATCAGGGATTCAAAGCTTCGCTTTCTGGCTTCAAAACCGAGAACAACGTTGGTGAAGAAACGGAAAGCAATGGTCTGGGATATCCTGTTTTTTCTATTCCTCGTGAATGGAGTCGTGGTATTTGTCGAAGGAAAGTGTGGAGGTCAGTACAGTATTGTGTGGAAACCATTCAGCCGTTTCAATTAGCTAGGTGTTTTCCTGTAGGCTCTAAATAATCGTCTATAAAAGCTTCTGCGTTTTGGTATCGGTATCCTTGGAAATKTTGAATATTCAGTCTTGCGAATTTATACGGTTAGAGCACTGTCTCTCACTGTAAATATGAAAGTACTGATTGTTTTTGAAGAAGACGGGGTTTTTGAAAAAAGCGTTCGCATAAACTGCGTACCCCAACTGAGACGCCGTCCACATACTATGCCGAGACACGCCAAATGTGTAGCTTTCAAATGTCTAGGGTTTCGAAGAAGCACTTTGTAATCCTAAACAAAGCTAGAAAACTTTGAATCCATGAAAGTTATTATTAGATGTGTTTTTCATGAAAATTAAAAAGCTCCCGGGTATCTAGTATTTTGAAAATCGTTCCCGGGTATCTAGACACTTCGTTATGCGACTAAACATAAAGCGTTGCGTTATGCGTGTTGATTTACATTACTACTTATCTTGACCTTCAATGGTCACGGCTCCTACATTTGTTTCGGATGAAACTATTTATTTACACTGTGAACTGAGCAAATATTTTATAGAAATACGTTTATAAATTCTATTYATTTTGCCTTCATCCAAGTCGGTAAATTAATGATTATTTATTGGAGCGAATTCTCGTTAGACCTTCGCACATTTCAACATACAATCTGAGCATTGCTTCGGCTGTTTTTAATCTTGTAATGCGTGGCGATCAATCTATTTTTTATTCAGAACGGCTTATTTAAATGACAAAACTGGCCGAACTTCCTTCAAAACTCCATTGGAATTGGTCTTTTTTACGTCTTTTGTTATTTTTTCTACGATCTACGTATACATCTACATTGATTATTTTCTTAAGAAGTTTAC